ACACAATATTACTATTAGTATTATAGTATTGTAACTACCCTAATAACAGTGTATATCTGTAAGAGTCTTAGTGTGAAACCACACCATAGTTTGCTCAAAGGGGGATCCCACACACTACATCCAGCACAGTTCCTGCCAATGTGACGCCACATAATCCTTACCAGCATAAGCAAGTCTTACCAAGTATACGCACCAACATCTCAGCAGAAATCAGAAATCAGTTTTGAATTTTCAGGATGCCAGGATGGATGCCACAAAAATGAATCTGCTTTTATTCAAAATTATGTTGTTTGGATTGAGCATAACAGTAAAAGAAGCAGGGATGTCATCTATTATGAGACGTAATGCAGCCTTAACTAGGCCAAGTGAAGTGAAAAAGAATTCCCACGTTAAAACAAGAAGGAAAGGAGGTTGCTGAATCTGAATTAAGCATAGATTGGCCTACATTAGCAGGTGGATTGGTTCAATACGTGCAAGAACTCATGTGGAGGCCAATCACCTTCAGTGGCCCTGTGTTACAAAAATACAGCAATTGCTGTACTGTAAATGAATTACAATTATGACATCTATAGATGTCACTCCTGATAACGTACCCACTGCATACTGATGCACAGGATGACTTTTATCTTTTTATGGAGTATTCGTGGAACATTCGTGGTATATTTTGAATATATAACAACATAACTATGTGATCAGATGAAGTCAGTCTTTATTATAGAATCCTACAACCATAATGACAAAAAAATGATGGCAAAACAGATGGAGATGCAGATGACCGTGGAGTCTCTTGCTGAGAAAGAACTGAAGGCCAAGAGTTCATCTGCATGATTTAAGAAGATAAGAGATCTTCATATCTCGCATAAATTAACAGACTGATCATCTCAAGCATCTGATAACGATGCAGGCACTGAACTCTAAGTCATATTGAAGGGTTAGTGAGTTCAGGAGAATTAGGCTCTAATTTCATGACCTTTGCCTTTATGCACTTTGTGCTGTCTGTTTGCAATGAAAATGGTTTCTACATCCTTCTGCAGCTAAATGAGTTTGATGAGACAAGTACTACAGAGAAGATAGTACCCCGTTCCTGTACTAGATTAAGCACTAATGGAACTGACGGGATACTTGATGAAATTTGATAAAGAATGACAAATGCATCAAAAGTGCTCGTCACTCAGGATGCGTTTTTGCTTACATGTGCATAATTTTTAAATGTAAGCAAGTACTAAATGGATGTACTTGACCACTTACTTAAATCCTCTATCGTAGCTTGTCAAAGGCAAAAAAATACACAATGTGAGATTTTTTTTTATTGCATTATTTCTATTCACTCTAAAAAATGCTGGGTTAAATACAACCCAGTGCTGGGTAAAATAGGGACAAACCCAGCAATTGGGTTGTTTTGACCCAGCGGTTGGGTTAAATGTTTAACCCAACCTTCTGGGTAGTAACCCAACCGCTGGGTCAAAACAACCCAATTGCTGGGTTTGTCCCTATTTTACCCAGCACTGGGTTGTATTTAACCCAGCATTTTTAGAGTGTTGTGTTATGTGTTAATTTAACCCACATACAACCTTCTGGGTAGTAACCCAACCGCTGGGTCAAAACAACCCAATTGCTGGGTTTGTCCCTATTTTACCCAGCACTGGGTTGTATTTAACCCAGCATTTTTAGAGTGTTGTGTTATGTGTTAATTTAACCCACATATTTTTATGTTTAAAATAACACAAAATTAAATAAATATATAATAATAAATAAATAAGGTGCAAATAACTAACAAATCAATAGTATCTTACATTATTTGTACTATAGCATTTATTGCTATTGGTACTTCCTCTGACTTTATTTCCCAAACCTGTGTGTGGGTAAAACAGGTTTCTCATGTATTTTATAATTTAGTGTTAGAAGTTACAATAAAGGTGTTCTTTTTTTTTTTACCTGACTCTTCAGTGTTTTTCACAGGGTTAATTTTTAGCAAACTGCATGAAAACCAATGGAAGTCAGAAGTCACATCTAACAACACAGGTTTTTTTTAGGCTGGCTGATCGGGCCATTAGTTTTTACTCTGCCTGTCAACTCACTGGCCTCACCCCAAAATATTGATCTTTTTTTTTAGCAAGTAATTTTATAATTAGTAGAAATATTAATATTTTTAATGCAGTTTTGTTAACTGTCTCAAACTAGGCCAGCAGGCCATCCTTGTTTAGGCCTTAATTTACTTAAACATTTAGTCAAACATTTATCATTTAGTAGCACTGTTTATCATAGGACATATTCCTACAAATAAATAAACATCACATACTAGTATACTAAGAGACAGAAAAATATGCACTCGACTCAACATGTAAGAATCATTGCAGCAACAAATGCCTCCTGAACTACACCGCTTTGGGTTAAGCCCAGATGATGAACAATGCCATTCTCATTAAACACAAAACTGCTGTTTGGCAGGGGCCCCTTTATGACACATTAATTATTTCAATCATAAAGGAACTAGACTGTAGCAGCAGGAATTTTAAGGCTGACCTTTAAGGTCATGATTGCAGTCAGAAGACATTCTTATTTGGACCCCCAATTAGTTGACCATTACAAGGCATCTGAGTCATTTTCCTCTGTCAGAATTGAGTATCATCTACCTCATGTTTCAAAGTTATCATGCAAGTTAGCAGCAGAAATAAAAAAGCAACTTTTGCCACTCAAAAAGCAGTATCAAAGAGAAACAAATTACAGTTTGAAGGTGTGCTTGGCAGGAGTGATGTATTTTGTTCATACTTTGGATGGCTGGGCAGCTCCGCAAGAGGCATTAGATTAATTAACACTGACTTACAATACAAAGCACTTTGAACTGAGAGAGTGCTCGAACCACAGCCAGATTGACGTGAAACTTTGTGCTCACTTCCCTAATCAGTCATTAGAATACCAACAGCCAATGGCCAGTTTCCTCTGGAGAGCAGCCAAGAACAAAAGTCACAATCATAGCCAAGGTTGCTAAAATGCTTATAATGGCCTTGTAGTTTTATAGTCGCCAATTCATGAACGACTAGAACAGTCACAAAAACTTAAAATGAAATGTTTAATATGATATGATAAAATACACTAATATAGTTCATTTTGATATTAATTGCAAGCTGGTTTGACTTTAAAACATTAGACATGCAGAGGTGGGCATGCTGTCATAAAACCTTATGAGGCTATGTCCAACGCAAAATGATAATATAAGTGGCTATTACATTTAGTCCATTAGAGTCTGACTTGCACCATAAATTGTAAATCTACTCTTATTTCTATGTTTTTGGGGGAATATGTAGTTAAATGCAGTTTCCCTTACAGTTTATTTTCTTTACACCAAAATAAAGACCTTTTAAAACTATTTTCTGAATTCTAAAGACTTTTTTTTTGACTACTTAGAAAATTCCCATCAAGATTCTCATCCCACATAACACAAAATTCAGATTGTTGAAGTGGCATGTTATTTCATGCATTATGAAGTATTACACCTAATAACCCCCCTGAGTCATCCTTTAGCAACTGCAAGTACACCTGCAGTGTATTTCCATTGCATCACTACATTCTCACCTCTGCCGCAAGCATTAACCCTTAGCTATGTGAGGGCACATCAAGATACCGCACTTAGTGCAAGCACTTCCCTGCACTCAGGCATATTCTAATACGTTTGCAGGGTCGTGAGGGTGAGCAGGCGAGGGTCAAATAAAGCTCCTAACAGTCTTAAATCATGTAGGAACACTCAAGAAGGAACAAACAATGGGTATGGAGAGGAAGTATTTAGCAAACTCTAAAATGGGATTGACCATGCTTGATAAACTAGACCCTGCCTCTTTATTCCTACAAAAACTGTGAAAAAGTTCACATTATTTCAATATAACAAATTATTTCCATCAATTTGACACAATAATTTGTGTCTTAAGAGATTATGAGTTTATTCCAAAAACCCCCCCCCCCCCCCCCCTAAGCAACTGTGAGTACACCTGCAGTGTATTTCCATTGCATCACTGCATTCTCACTTCTGTTGCAAGCATTAACCTTTAGCTATGTGAGGGCACATCGAGATACCGCACTTAGTGCAAGCACTTCCCTGCACTCAGGCATATTCTAATACGTTTGCAGGGTCGTGAGGGTGAGCAGGCGAGGGTCAAATAAAGCTCCTAACAGTCTTAAATCATGTAGGAACACTCAAGAAGGAACAAACAATGGGTATGGAGAGGAAGTATTTAGCAAACTCTAAAATGGGATTGACCATGCTTGATAAACTAGACCCTGCCTCTTTATTCCTACAAAAACTGTGAAAAAGTTCACATTATTTCAATATAACAAATTATTTCCATCAATTTGACACAATAATTTGTGTCTTAAGAGATTATGAGTTTATTCCTAAGAAATTCAATTCAAAATAGTCCAAAAACTAAAATGCACATTAAGTTGTATCTTTGGCACCCTCGACTTTACTTAAAAATTTAAGGCAGCATTAAACTTAAGTCTTAACCCAATTTGAGCAGGTTTAAATCAGTATAGGTGATAAAAAGTGGGAAGACAGATTTTAAAGGATAACAATGGATGATGGGGGACATATCATATGTATACTTACGTATTGCATTATTATTTTAATCAATAAACCTAAAAACCTTACTGAACTGAATGAATGAATGAATTTTGTAGGTAGCCTGCCAAATCAATGTTTCTATATATGAATAGGCATAACTTGGACCAAAAACAGCTAAAAATGTATTATTATTATTATTATTTTTGAAAATCTGGAAATCTGAATTAAATCAACTCTTTTATACATGCTTAATACAGCCGCTGCTTAAAAGGCAAACGGCTTTTTTGATATGACACGATGCATATAACTAGTGCAGTTTTCAAATAGCAATACAACTTATGCAACGTTGCCTAATATTGTAAGAAAACATCCAATGCAACCAACAGATTGTCAGCCCGCGCAAACCAAAGACTCGTGTTTGGCATCCGCGCAAGCGCTCTCTCACCTTTCTTGAACTCCTCCAGCATTGCGTCGAGTTTAGTGTCATTGAAGACGAAATGTAAGGGATGGCTGTAGAACTTCGTTATCGTCTTCAGCGGGGTACAGTCGTCGGGATCCACAAACGCAAGGTCCTTCACGAACAGCAGGTCCACGATGTTGGACCTGTCGCCCTCGAACACCGGAATGCGCGTATAGCCGCTCTCCATGATCTCGCTCATGCTGTTGAAATCGAGCGTGGCGTCGCCGGCGATCATGAAGCAATCGCGCAACGGGGTCATCACATCTTCCACGGTCTTAGTCCTGAGCTCCAGTGCGCCCTGAATGATGTTCAGCTCCTCTTTCACCAAGTCATTATAGGGATCTGTGACCCTCAACATCTCCAAGAGCTTCTCTCGGTTGTACACCGTGCCAATCTCCTGTCCGAGGAGATAATCGAGCAGTTTACTTACCGGATAGGACGCAGGGAAAGTGAGCAGCATGAAGAATTTGGTCAAGAAGATTGTATTCGCACCCACAGCAAGACCGTGTCGTGAACATATCGCTTGAGGCACAATCTCTCCAAATATGACAATGCCAATGGTGGACATCACTACAGCTATCAATCCAGAACCGGCGATATCATCCAACAGGATGGTCAAGGTGGTGTTGACCAGAACATTCCCCAGAAGAAGCGAGCAAAGCAGGTAGTTTCCTTGGCTCCTGACGGGCTCGATCTTCCTGGCGTAGTTCTTCTCCTTCTCCGTCCCGCAGTTCTGGACGATCTGCAGCTCCATGGGATCCAGCGCCATCAGACCCAAGTTCAAGCCGCTGAACATGCCCGAGAGGCAGAGCAACATGGAAATGAAGATGACCTGGAGCCAGAACGGGAGCAGAAACCGTTTCTCCTCCACCACGATCACTTTGGTGTCTTCTCCATCGTGATAGATCCACGTGTTCTCCGTCCACGGGTCGTGCGCGCCCGCCGCGGCAGGTGTGGAAGTGGCGATGCACAGGTAGTACGCTTTGCTCCTCTCAGTCTTGCGCAGAGGCTTGACCTCGATCTCCACGATGCCAGACGTCTTGCGATTTAAAATGATGCTGGGCAAGATGAGAATATCCGAAGTCCTGATGCCACAGGGATGCAAGCCCGACGTGTCCTCCTGACTCTTGTTGTCCCCCGAGGAGCTGTCGATGTTGCCAATCACTCGACTCCTCTCGTGTTCCGTAAAGGCGATTTTGGACCACGTCTCGTTGTTAATGTTTTGCCCGAACACCCTCAGTCTCACCCGAGACCTCTCACTGACCCGCAAATAGCCCCTGTCCATGAAGGAAATGTCGTCCGTGTCCTCCAGTCTCAGCCCGATGATGACCGTCTCCTCTCCCCCTCCTTCCTTGCCACTTGTGGGAGTAATTAAATAACTGCTTGCAGTTAAGAAAATCAGAGTAAAGGCTCGGACCCGGCTAAGTGACGCCATTTTTTGAGGGGGTACTGGAACCGACGGTTCTGCCATGTTGATAATGGTCAGCCTCTTGAATGAAAGGGCTTTTAAAAATCAGAGCCAATCCGGCTTCATGTCCGCTGCGCGTCGCCTTGACTTGTGCATCAGGTCTCGCCGAGTCCCACTACGCGGTTGAAACTGATCACACTTCAGCGAGAGCAGCGCGAACTCGTGCCTCCACTGATGTCTCGGTGACAGGCAAGCGGGGCACCCAATCCAGAGGCGCAGCTGGGAGGGGGGCGGGGCTTTCGCTGCCGCAACAGCCAATGAGCTCCGTAAACAGTCGCACTTAATGCAAATGTGCGCAAACAGAAGTTTCCTCGTGACTGTTTTTGGTGTTTTGAGAAGGATCTTGGTTGACAGCATTTTTAAATAGTGCCAAGATACACTCAAGAAGTGTAGTAAATAACTAACAAGATTATAGAGCGTTTCTTCAATGACCCAGGGACGACCTGTGGACTTTTAGAAGATAAATATACATGCATCTCAGGAGAATTTCTCAGTTTTCTGAAACTGTATCCTAAATTACATCACCTGAAATTACACACAATAATAATAAAAAAAAGACAAATAACAGATATCTTCTTTGGTTTTTCTCTTTAATTCTATTCTTTACTGTTGCCTCCATAGTAAACAAGTAGATTAACTATTGAAAAAACTTTGTAGGAAGAACATTGTTGTGCTGGAAATGATGCCACACTGCACTTTTTCTTTCTTTGAATCGTAATAGTTTCACAAATGCAATGTGTAGACAGGAATGCAGGGGTAAGAGGGGAAAGTAGGATCGCAACGGGATCTCTGGGGAGTCAGGGACCCATATGTCCAAAACATGTGCACAGCCCACAGCAAGACATATATTTATGTTGGTTTTTAATAATTTGTGATTGAACGTTTGGATCTGAGACGAGGATAAAACAAAATCTATCAAAAAAAAAAATTATAATACGAAAAGTATCAAAAATACATGACATGGAATAAATAAAAAAAATAGATGTAAATAGCAAAAATAGATGTTAATGTGACCTTCATATACTGTAACAATAAGAAAAAGAAGTTTATTATCAACCTCTGAGACATCAAAGTGCTGAACACCCAGGAACTCAGCCCTCAGTCATCCTAAAGAAATTTACAAAGCTATAAATTGAATGTGATTACACAAAAACTTCTCATAGGTAACTATATACCTCACATAGATAAGGCAGGGATTAAAGCAATCTTTAAAAATGCAAGAGGTGCAAAACCTATGAAAGGATGTAGAAAAGAATCATGATCTCCACAGAGCGAACCTTTTATCATTATCAGGGATCAGAGATCAGTCCAGACCAAAGGAGAGTTGATTGATTATGAAATATTTTGCAATCCTACAATCTGTACAGGTAGTGAAAGTTCACGTTCAGTAAATTAGAGAGAATAATTCAATCTATGTTGAAAACACTTTTGACTGGAATTCTGTACAAGTTTCCATAACTTCATGTAACCTCAAATTCTGGTCCCAGAATTGCAGCAAAGGCTTGATGAGTTCCCCTTCCCACCTGAAAGTCCTGTTGTGAAATTTTAAGGTATGGGGCTAGATTACGTTTTATAAAAAGTGATTTACATGTCAGTTTCATTACATACAGCTGATAGTAATACCCAGGCAGTCAGCTCAAACGTATTTTTATTACAGCAACGGAAAAAGTGATTTGATTACAAAAGTTCAATAAAACATGTGTTTTCAGTTTGCTTATGTTTGGCAATACAATAAAGATCACAATAAAGATTAAACCTGACAGGTGAACACTTTGGATTATGCAACTATATAGACCTGTGTGAGGTACTGGTCAATGCTATACATTTATCTGCAGTATGATTAAAGATTTAATTAAAACATCTTTTTTCTTATTGTTTTTCCTTGTGTTACCTTTCACAAATTATAAGTAATACTATAGTATAGTATATATGGTACTATTAAATTTTTACACAATCACAGTCACAATTAACAACAAATAATGTGTTCTTTTCAAGTAAAAATCAAACAGTACTGTTACATTTGCTGGGTGGGAGTCACTGGCAGCAGTGATTGCTGGTCTCCACAGCACCCCCAAGTGGAAGGAGTTACACTTGCACTGCCCAACTGCTGGACCAGCACAAAGGGATTCACTGACACTGCCTGAAGAGAGACGTAGATTCTCAGTGGTTGCAAGTACAGTATATTCATAATTTACATCGATTTGGTTCCATAGTACTTCGGTATTCATGGACACATAGCCATTCATTGACACTGATTCATTGCGCAGCTGCATCCCATTATATCATAGGTATGTTCAAATTCATTGCTTTCAGGATAAGATGATGGAATCAATTTTGAATCAGAACTTACAGGCAGATCTCTTTGATCAACACAACCATAACATTGTTGTCTATAACAAGGATTTTCATTCAATAATGTGCGTGTGTCTGTGTGTGTGCGCGTGCGTTTTTGTGACATACAGTATGAGGACACACATTTGTATAAATTTGTGAGTGAGATGAATTCATGCATATTCATATTTATTTTAGAACTACAGTAACATCTTCTGATTTCTCTCAACATGGGGAAAGGAGAGCTGTCAGTCAATAAATTGGAATAAAAAGTAACTTGCGTTACTTATTTGAAAAAGTAACTCCGACATTCTCTTGTAAATTAAAAAGTAATGCGTTACTTTACTAGTTACTTGAAAAAAGTAATCTGATTACACTGGTCAATTCTATATAGTCCTTTCTTGTGTTTGAAGGGACTGAATCACCAACAACACTGATAAGATGGCGTTCTTTGTTTGAAAGGGCGGTGGCCAAGGCTTGTGTGTGTCTGGCTGATGGGTCTAGAGCAACTTAGTGGCCAATGAGAAATATTTTGAATGCTAGTTGTTATGTTGAAAGCTGATTAGTCTAAAATTGTAACAAAAATGGATTTTACACCTGAAACTCAATTGGAACATTATGCACAGACGAGATATACTATTAAGTGCATTACTGAATATATGACCGACAATAAGAAAATGAGGCATGTTTACACACTGGCAAGAGTCACTTACCTTGGGTTTGGCCCAGCATCCTCCAGAGCCGGAGGTGTTCAACCCCTGACGCTGAAATGTGAATTCTTCAGAAAATCTGGAGTTGTTCAAGATGCTGGCCACAACACCATCCACCTCCATCTCTGTATCTACCTAGAGAAACACACAAAAGTGCCGTGTTCATGCTTGCTGACAACAGACACAACCGTTCAATGGTTTGGGGTCGCTAACAATTTTAAATGTTTTTGAAAGGCTCTTATGCTCACCAAGGCTTAATTTATTTGTTCTAAAATACAGTAAAAATTGTAATATTGTTAAATATTGTTACAATTTAAAATAACTGTCTTCTATTGTGATGCATTCTAAAATGTAATTTATTCTTATAATACAGCTGAATTTTCAGCAGGATTTTTCAGGATTCTTTGAAGTTCAAAAGAAACTTTCTTTTTTTTTTTGAAATAGTAATCTTTTGTAACATTATACATGTCTTTACTACTTTTGATCAATTTATGCATTCTTGCTAAATAAAAGCATTCATTTCTTAGAAAAAAAATCCTACTGACCCCAAACTTTTAAAACGGTATGTGTTATGGCTTTTATTTAATTTAAACACATTTAAATTAATTACATGTACAGCATTTATTACATATGCATATTACTTTTAATATCACCATGTGACCAGCAGACAGAGCAAAAGCTCAGAACACAAGGTATAGTTATTAAGATATAGTTAGTCATGATTCAAATACAGCTAAACCATTTGGATGTTATTCTAACATTACTATTCATTTATTCAAAAACATTAATTATAACTACTGGCACAAATAAGGGAAAAATGTGCTGGACCTGATATGCAATATGAGCTCTATATGCAGATCTGATTAACTGGATGTAGCTACACACCTTAAAGGTATACTGGGCATCAAACGCGAAGCTTTCCTCCGCACCTGTAATTTCTCCATTGTACATGACCAGACAGGACTTCTTCTCTGAACCTTTTGGTAACTTGAAGAGCCGGTATGTGGCTGACACAAATTTGTAGTCACCTAAACAAATTTTACAATTCAAGGTAAAACTATAAACTAACATTTTTTTTAAAGAATGAAAATGAAAAAAGAAAATATATATATTCATTCATCTTTACGATGCATTATGCACTGGCACAATTTATAAACAAATGTTCAGTTTTAGTGCACATTCTCAAAATTGATGCAACAGGGTTTAATATTTTTAATTATACTAATAATATTGTTAACACTGGCAACTTAGGCACAAATTGGCCATAAAATCTGCTCATTTTTGCTTCGCCAACAACTAAAGTATCAGAAGAAACCTAAGCAGAATCAAACACTGAATTTTTCTTGCAGCAAACACAGACAAGTGGAGTTAGTTCAATACAGTCTGGTGCTAATTATTTCATGCTTACCAGTACAAGGTGGCATATTTTAACACAAACATCTCACCAAGCAGTTTCTCTAGTTCCTTGTTGCCCACAGTGATGATACTTGCAGTAACCAGTCTGGGTTTACAGAACCCAACCTCTTCAGCCAGTTGTATCAGGTCTTTCCACCACAATGCTCCAGTGAGGCACTCACCTGATCAACACATGCAAATAAGCCTGTAACAGTGTCATTTATATGTAAATGTCTAGGCAGCACAATGAGCAATTTATTTTACAAACAAAAGAAGAAAAAAAAAAAAGATTAGCTCTGCTCCAAACCACTAGAATATGAAATAAGAAAAAGTTCTTCCTCAGGATTATTGTTTTATTTTCCAGTGCAAATGTAAAGATGATTAAAGGTGACATATTATGAAAATCTGACTTTTCCAGGTTTTAAGTGCTATAATCAGGTCCCCGGTGCATCTACCAACCAAGGAAACGTGAAAAAGATTAACCCAGTAACTTTGTTTTGGGTAGCCTTTTTCTGCAAGCGTCTGAGAAAACGAGCGCATCTGATTTTGCTCCCTTGGTGACGTGGCAAACGGATCTCATTATAACATTACCGCCCCTTGATCTGTAAGTTTACACCCACGGCGCTGTTATTGTGTTTTCGCAAGGGACAACGGTGTACCAGCTCTAATGCCAATTTCAGCGTGATAAACATGATAATCAGAACCAAAACAGATGTTTTTAGCAGGTACAAGCTGTAATGGCGCAGCTCTATTCTGGAAAAGGGGGTGGGGAGCAGTGTTGCCAACTTCTTTCAATGGAAAGTAGCTAAACTCCGCCTGAAAAGTCGCTAAATGACGTCATACTCTAATTAGCATATTCATGATGTCAGTGTGTCATATTGTCTTGCCTCCCTGTGCTCACGTACTGCATTTTAATGCAGCCAAATTCTCAATAAAACTGTTTTTATTAATATATTTTACCGTTTACGCTTTCTGTCCGTGTGCACTCAGAAAACTGTATATCAGAAGTTTAAACTAATATGGTTTAAAACGCATGATTTCAGCGTGATAAACATGATAATCAGAACCAAAACAGATGTTTTTAGCAGGTACAAGCTGTAATGGCGCAGCTCTATTCTGGAAAAGGGGGTGGGGAGCAGTGTTGCCAACTTCTTTCAATGGAAAGTAGCTAAACTCCGCCTGAAAAGTCGCTAAATGACGTCATACTCTAATTAGCATATTCATGATGTCAGTGTGTCATATTGTCTTGCCTCCCTGTGCTCACGTACTGCATTTTAATGCAGCCAAATTCTCAATAAAACTGTTTTTATTAATATATTTTACATATATGTTTTCAGACAACGGAATTAATATTATAGTGACTGAAATGCGGTCCATTAAGACTACATAACCAGCTCTCAAAGATTAATCTGCACTAAAATCCTAATCACGACATTGTCTAATGAAATCAAGAGAGAAAGAGGTGTGTGCGCTGGGAAAGCAAGACCTCGTGCTCGTGCGGCAGTACCGGAGAGTCTCATAAGTCTAAATAAGGTTTGTCCAAGAAAGTCGCTAGATTTGTCGCTAGTTGCTTTTTTGGAAAAAAAGTCGCTAAGGGGGTCTGAACAGTCACTAAATCTAGCAACAAAGTCGCTAAATTGGCAACACGGGTGGGAAGCAGCAGCTCATTTGCATTTAAAGAGACAGGCCCGAAAAACATCCTGTTTCTGATTTCACTATAATAGGCATTTTCAAAATGATATAATAAATGATCTGTGGAGTATTTTGAGCTGAAATTTCACAGACACATTATGGGGACACCAGAGACTTATATTACATATTGTAAAAAGGGGCATAATATGTCTCCTTTAAATCAAGGCATAAGCTTGCTTAATTTTGTTCAGTTTCTCAGAAAACAAGACTTCATATCTTCATTTAGCCTGTTAATGTATCTTGATTTAAAGATGTTTAGATATTTGTATTGGAAAACAAGACAAAAACAACTGAGGAAGACTTTTATTTTTAGCAATACATGCAACACTGTGACTTGATGAATTTAATACGTTCCGCTCTGATTTAAGACCCTTTAAGGCCTTAATTTGTGGAAGACAAATTAAGAATTAAATTTTTTAAGACTTTTTAAAGACAAATTATCTGTTCTTTCTTACCCCATAACACTTTGTTGGCCTTGAGGTCTTCAGGGATTCTAGCATCACTATAAACATCACTAAAGTACAATTCCCCTCCATCCTAAACACAAACCGAATCAAAATCATTTGTGTTTGTTAATGAGCTAAAGGCACAAAAGATATCCATTATTCAAAAGATATCCATGTTTCAAATATTCAAAGTAACATGTTCTAGGCTATTAATATAGCATCTGAGTGTCAGAGTTGGAAAAAAATCAGAGCTAAAAAATAAAGAATTAAACTGAATTCTGTATGAAATCGAAGTACCTTCAGTACACGGTAAGCCTCTCTCAGGACACTGGTTTTACCTGGTGACAGGTTCACCACACAGTCTGATCTTTAGAAATAAAAGAACAAAAACTGCCAATGAATTGCTTGTTCATGCTATCAAGCAGTGGAAATCTGAACAGACTCCAACTAACAGTTTCGTGTCAGCAAAGAATTGCAAAGTTATTTTTCTTCACAAATAGGCTATCATTTTGAAACTGAGAAAGCTTACATGATGATATCATATGATTTCTCCACCAGACCTGCTTCTGCCAGGGCCTCAATGTAGCCTTGAACAAAATTCACATTTGGCTTTTTATAGCCAAATCTTTGCATGTGGTAGTCGATGTATTTCCTAGCCACCTCAAGCTGTAAAACAAAGAAGACATCTGAGCAGTTCACATATACTGTCAAATGCATTTAGGATAGTAAATGAAAAGCATATATTTATTAGTGCTGTCAATCAATTAAAATATTTAATCACTATTAAATTAATTTGTTTGGAGAAAAAAACAACAGTACTGTTGTAATTATTAGCTTTGGCAATTTTTAAAAAACTATGCTGAAATATCAGCGAAACAGAATTACACATTCACTAACTATGTACTAGTCTGCCATATATAGTAACTTGTAGCACAAGCCCGTATTACAGCATTACATTGCTATCCAAAACCTTAAAGGAATTTACCTGATCTTCAGTCATGTCGATACCTGTGACATGTCCCTTCTCTCCTACAAGCTGGCTGAGCATGTAGCAGTCCCGTCCGCTCCCACATCCAAGATCAAGCACCCTGCAGCCCTCCAGACAATCAGGGACCACCAGACCACAGCCATAGTACCTGAGAGGAGGGACACAAGTTATTCTGCCACCAAGGGGTCAGTGCTGAAACATTGTGAAAGGCAATATGTAAAACTGCAATTAATTTTAAATGTCAGAGGAAGTATCATCAGAATAAAGCAATATAACTTTAATTAGACTATGTCTAAGCAGTCACATTTTAAAAAATCTGTTAATCTTATTCATTATATCACTGGCTGGCTACATTTTTAGATATGATTATATATCATTAGAGGAAATGACCCTATTAAGCCACTCAAATCGATATTGCTAATTTATGATTATTAATTTATTAATATGAGAACGGTTTTCTAATGAAGTAGGTGTTTGGGTGCTGCTTTATTTTATAGCAATAGATGTATGTATTTTACAGATTTATTTAAAGATTTTTCCTTTTCAAAGAAAATATTTTTATTTACAAAGGATGCATTCAATTGATAAAAAGTGGCAGGAAGTGACAATGTTACAAAAAGATTTCCATTTCAAATCAATGCTGTTCTTTAGAACTTTCTATTCATCAAAGAATCCACAAAAACATTAAGCAGCAAAACAGCAGTTTTCCAACAGTAATAATGATAATATGAAATGTGTCGCTACGTAGCGTAATAATCTATTTTGCTATTACAAAATGAAAGCTCTGTTACTTCCCCAGCTTGAATCATACTGCAGATCAAACGTAAAAATGAGCAACATAACAAGTTTTACCTGGCTGCCGAAGGTGCGTCTGCCATGATTAAACGCTAAACGAGTAACGTTAGGCGTTTCAGCCTTTCTCAACTTCCGTAGCTTGACAAATTCAGTCAATCAGTGAGCAAATGCTGCAGCCCACGGAACTGCCAGAGGAGGAACAACTTGTATTGCAGTAAACAACAAGGATTACAGTACGTACCAAACAAACAGTAAAAAAACAGTACGTACAAAACATACAAAATGCCAATCAATAATAAACTACTTGAGGATTAATAGATAAAACATCACAGAAAAAAACAATATAATTCTTAAGAAAAGGGCAGAAGAAAAAAAAGGCACACAAATAGAAGTACAAGTATATTCGGGAAAAATCTTAAACATGGCACAAATTCTAGATGTTTTTATAGCTTTCTTGTTAACAGACGTTGAAATTGTATTTAAATACAACTTCAGTTCTTGTCTGAAGATGTAAAAGTGGGGTTTACATTTAGTATATTTACATTTATGGACATAAAACTTTCCAATAAATAACAGGAGGTTTATACAAAAACTTGCATTAAATGGATTCTTATCTTTAGCATAAACAAACAGAAATCAATGAGCCACTGTTATTATTTCTAAAAAGCATACAAATTTCCCGAGAGATAGCCTTTAAAACTGTATTAAAGGGGTCATATGATGCGATTTCACGTTTTCCTTTCTCTTTGGAGTGTTACAAGCTGATTGTGCATAGATAAGATCCCTGAAGTTGCAAAGACTAAAGTCTCAAAACCAAAGAGATATTCTTTATCAAAGTTAAGACTCTGCCACGCCCCCCTAAAACGGCTCGTTCTAACACGCCCCCACATATCTACCTCACTATGTGGAAATATTTGCATAATGCAGCCCAAATGTTCACGCAAAGAAAGACGGCGTGGTTTCAGTAACTGCAGTTAGTGTTGAAGCAGGCATGTCAGGGAGATGCTGTGTGTTTCTAGGCGAAAGCAAAAGCACTTTATTTGGCCTTCCGAAAGTAGATGCATTTAGGGATCTTTAAGATTACTTACAACAGATCAGCAATACATTTTATGGAC